GATAGCCTCGGTCCGGGGCTCCGCCTGAGTCAGGTTTTCCAGGAGGGACGTCGTTGGTTCCAGGGTGGGGCCCGGAACCCGCGCGGCCGCCGGGTCCACACGGACCCGGAACTCGCTTCCGGGCTGTGTCTACACTACTTGGCCAGGCCAGGCGCTCGAGGAGGGCCGAGGCCCGAGGGTCCCGGAAGAGGCAGGATTCCCTCCCCCTAAAACCAACTTCGAGTCCCGGGAAAGTTAAAAATAGAACGAAATGTCCAAATACGGCCGGCGCGCCTGGGCGGGCGGAGCCTCGGTGCGGGACGCAGTCCGCAGCCGGGGTGGGGTGCGCTGAGTCTTCGAGCGCCACGAAAATCTTGTTTGGTCCCCACGCCCCAGGGTCCTTGCTTGTTCAGCGTGTCTTTGGCCCATGTGGAGGCCTCGGCTTCCCAAATTTGGCATTTGGAGCCGACACCCTTCTCCCTCAACCTGGACGTCCCACTCGAGCTGCGTCTCCCTGCTCCGATGCCCCTCAGGTCTCGACACTCCCTCTGCCCAGGACGCCCCCCGGCCCCCAGCTCCCAGCGGCCGCACCCTCGGGCTCTCCGGGAGCACCGGCCCTCCTTTGGCGCGAGGGGAGGATTCTAGTCAGATCTCACCATGGGTGGAGGTGGTAATGGCTAGTGCTTGCAAAAAGGCTTGTCTTTTTCTTTTAACAGTTACGACGGTGAGCAAGTCATTTAACTACTTAGGGTCTTTATTTACTTATTCATTTACTTTAGTGCTGGGGATTGAAGTCAGGGCCTTGCACATGCTACACAAGCATTCTGGCACTGAGCTGCATGCCCAACCCCTTGGAACCTGTTCATTTAAAAAGGAGAATGCCTGCCAGGAGCCTTGTTGGGTAGACTGCGATAAACACTAAAACAGTTCTTAGGGCCTCAACAAAGTTACTCTCTTCCTCTTCCTTCTCTGCCCCACTCAATCCCACACCTGCTTGGGGACAGCTGTCACACCTCTTATCTACTGAGGCAAGCTCCTCCAGGCTCCTTAGGTTCTCGGGTCAAATACAAAGGGCTCTCTACTGACCCTCGCCTGGGCTGGCACCCGCTTGCCCTAGGGAGGAAAGGCACAGCTGGGACCCAAGGCCCCAGCATGCCCCGCCGGACGCGCCCCACCCTTGGCCCTGGGCTCCCTGGGGAAGGGAGAAGGGTGTCGCAGGTGTGGGCTGCAGCCTATGGGGGAAGACTTACTATCTGAGAACAACAGCCTGGCCAGAGCTGCGGCCGGGACACCCCGCGGGGGAGTCACCAGCTGGGAGACGGGGCCCTCTGGAAAGGGTAAAGGGGAGTAGGCGTCTGGCCTCAGCGGGGAGATGGGGGGGAGGCGGGCAGGCCCAGAGGGGGCGCCCTCTGCGTTCCGTCAGGCTTGAAATCCAGAAGGGTGCAGGGAGTGTCTCAGAAGAGCGGGGCAGGGGAGCAGGTGAGACAGCGCCCACCAGAAGCTCGGCTCGTGCTCCCCCTGGGCGGGGGCACCTAGCTGCGCTCCCGCCTGTCGCTGGCGAGGGGAGGGGCGGGAGGAGGCGGGGCTTCGCGGCCGCAGTGCCCGCCCCGCCCGGCCGCGTCACGCGGCTGGAATGAGGAGAATCTGAGTGCGGAGGGGTCTGGCCCGCTTTCCCCGTCCCAGGCTGTGCCGCCGCATTCCCGGGATGCCCGCAGGCGCCCCCGCAGCCACCGCCCGGCGGCGGAAGGAGAGGGTGTCACCGCCGCCGGTCGGGCCTTAGGGCCGCCGCAGCCACGGCAGCCCCACTGACTTGCCCCGCCTCGCTGGACGGAAGCGTGAGTCCCTAAGAGGGGTAGGGAAGCGGGGAGCGCAGGGTGAGACGCCGCGACTACAGGAGCTTCCCGTGCCCTTGGCGCTTTCGTATATTACCCTCCTTAGTGCCCCAGCCAACCCACGAGTCTACTGTTCCTGTTGTAAGGCGAAACTGAAGCTGGGTAGGTGAAATGACCTAGGGCAAGGTCTCTAGATGTGTAAAAGGAGCGCGTTTGGAACCCAGGAACGCAAACACTTACTATGTGCAGGGCTGCGTGAACCCTACACACCATTAACAGGTTGTGACATTTATCAGTGACCCAGGATGCATCTCCAGCCGATCACAGCGCATTAAAAGGTCGGTGTTGTGACTTTTTGATGTCTAGGCATTAGGGGTGGCAACTAGGGAACAGGCCACCAGGCTTTGAGCCTCCAGCGTGACCCGGGCCTGTATGCTGGCTGCAGGCCAGAGTGCAGCTCTGCCCACCCCCACCCCCGCGATCCAAAACAGCCCCAGGGTATGGTACCGAGGGGAATGCCCTTTACCCAGTGTGGACCAGGTGCCTGATCTCTGCGGGAGTGGAGCGAGCGTAATGGGCAGCCTCTAAGTTCCCCCAGCCCAGGGCTACTGCAGCTCTGGAGGGGCTGCTCTGAGGAGCCCCAAAGCGATTTCTACTGAGGGAGCCTTATGGCTTCTTCGGACGGAGAAAAACAGCGACGGCCAGTCTCACTGGCAGCTCAATGCAGGGCACAGGGCAGGAACTCAGTTTAGATATATCAAGCAAATCCTAGGTCTGGTCCAGGCTGCTCCACCGAGGACTGTTCCCGGCTTCAGAGAACTCTTCTGAGGGGGTGTGGTAAGATGTGGGGCCTGTAGGGATCTACCGTGACTGCTGCACTCAAGGGCTGTCACTCAGGCTCTGGAACCATGGGCCTTTGACCTGCCCAACATTCCTGCCTGAGGGTCCAGCCAAAGTACAGGGCAAGCTGTCCTCTAACCTAGCCTCCTAGTCACCGATCCTTCGTGTAAAGGATGCCATCTCCAGCTGATCCTCCAGGCCTGGCACTAAAAGAAAGGCCTGCCTTTCCTCCCTCCACTCCTCAAACAAAGCAGTCACCACTGCTGAAACAGCATTCCTGCTCCTCCAACACTGCTTCTGTTCTGGACCAAACCAGCGGCCTCCTAACTGGCCTCCCTGCCTTCCTCCCCCAATCCACTTTCTCGGAGTAGTCTGTTATTTAGAAAATGTATAGCTGACAATTAACATCTCATGTTAATGGAGTGAAGGTTTATAGGTCTACCGCTGTGTGCCAGGCCTGTGCTTCATATCACTTGTCAAGCGGCTCCCGAAGGCCACACAGTCTTCCAATTTACCCTGTTGCTCCTGCACTCCTGCATGACTGCACGCATAACCCTCTCCAGTCCCTTCTAACCCCTGCCTTCCCTACCACCACACACAGCTAGGAGGAGCTGCTTGCGCCCCGGCCAGCCATGGGATACAGCCCGCTTCTTATCACATCAAGCACAAATCATCTGCTTCCTTGTCGGTCTCTCCCCAGACTGTTCGCATCCCAGGCACGCTCAACTAGGCACCTCGTGGGGGCTCAATAACCCTCTCGTGAGCGCCTGCATGAATGAATGAATCGCAGAGCCCAGGAGTGTGAGCGGGAGGCTGGAGCACGCTAGAGCTGAATAAAGCCAGCCAGCCATTCATTCTTTCATTCATCTCTGAGCCCCCAGCCGCCGAGCTCACGGCGCCGAGGCACGGCGGGGGCACTGGCACGGCGGGGCCCCGGGGCGAAGGACGGGAAGGGGCGGGGCGCGGGAGGCTCAGCCGGAACCCAGAGGCGGAGGAGGTTGCGGGTGGGGCCCGAAGAAGAACGCGCTGGGTTCCTGGGTCCCGCGACCCGCTCTTCCCTGCCCTCAGGTTACCCGCAAGGAATCTAGGTCCCACCAGGCTGAGTCCCGGCGCCTCTGGGCTTAGGGCTTCGCACCAGCCAGGCCCAGGGTATCTTCAGTCCCGCGATACCCGGCCCGAGACCCTCCTGCCCCCACTGTAGCCGGCTCGGCGCTCGCCCGCCTGCGGTCTCCCCTACTCCGCTCGCCAGCGGAGGTCTCCCGGGGCCATGCAGCCGCTTCCCGCCCCGCACTCTGCCCTGCGTACCCACCGGGTTGGCTCTTCGGGTGCGCGGGCGGGGGCCGGGCTGGGCGGCGTGGCCGCTTCGGGTGTCCGCGGTCCCGGCACGCTCTCCCCGCCCAAAGCCCGCCAGGGGCCGGGCCGCTGCCTGTCGTCATCCCGGGCAGGGCCCGGACTCCGGCGCGCGCGCTCTCGGGCCCCGCCCCGCCCGCCCTGCTCCGGGCCAGGCCCGCGTCTGCCGAGGCTCAGGGCTGTACTTCTCAACCAGCTCGCGGGACACGGCGCACCGCAGTCGCGCGCGTTACACACACACACACGCCCTTCCCTGGCCAGAGACGCGGCCCGCTCTGCAGTGCAGGGTGGGTGGGTTCCTCAGATGGATTCCCCCTCATGCTAGGGCCTTTGGCAGCCCCCTCCTCAGCAAACCAGCCCCTCCCAGGCGTGGTAGGCCAGGGCAGTTCTTCCCCATTTCTAAATGCCTCTCTGCTTTTACCCACTTCCCCCGCCCTTGCCTCTTGCTCTGAGTCGGTCAGTCCCAGGTCAGCCGCAGTTCCGGGGACCGGATGAAAAAGGGGAGGCATTAACTCTATGTGCCTGGAGCCTGACATACATTGTTAGTCCTCTGACCTCAAAGCAGCCCTGTCACCTGCTCTGGACTCAGGTCACAGCCCAGTTCACTAAAGTTTAGGGACCTGGAGGGGAGATTCAAAACCACATCTCTGCTTTGAAAAATTCTGCTTCTAGAGGGGTTGAAGGGAGGGAAGGAGAATGAAAAGAGCAACACAGATCACATACAGGTACAAATTCCCTACGGTGAACGTTATCACTATGTTACCTAAAATAAAATTTAAGAAATCCTGCTTCTGGTGGCTCTGAATCCTTTACCCTTTCCTTCCACCTACTCCTTGTCCAGTTGGTTTCTGCACACACCAAGGGTCAGAATGCATCCTACTCTTCACCTCTTTCCAGAAGGCTTTTTCCAGGGGCACCCGCAGCCCTGGGAAAACATCGACACCCTTCCTCCCAACCCAGAGCATCCCCACTTACCAGCTTGCATGGCCTGTGGGGGTGAACCACGCGGATGATCTCCCCGGTGGGTATGAGCTCCACTTGCAGCGCCATTCCGCCCTGCGCAGAGCCAGCTTGCGCAGTGTTCAGCACTGGAGCCTCTGAGCAAAAGCTGCCTGTTGCCTACTGACTTTGACCGCTCCGGAGCCAGGAATCTAGTCTCAGCCTGGGATGGCCACTTGGTTCTGCTTCAACTCCAGCCCCAAGGGATGTGGCTGGTCCAGCTCCTCAGGACACAGCTGGAGCAGTCCAGGTCTGATTGGGAGGCCTCTTGGCTGGAGAGTTGGGGCAGGAAGAGGAGGGGCTGAGGGGTGGAGGAAATGCCTGTTGTCCCAGGTAACCAGAGGAGCTGATGCAGCCACCCATAGGGGACCCTGGGTTCTAGGTCAAAGGGTAGGAGGCCTTTTCCCCTTTAGCAGCTCCTTGGCTGGGCTTCTCCTACTGCCCATTATCTGGTATCAGCTGGAGAGGCCAGTGACCACTCCCCTAATCTGAGGGCACATCCTCTCCCCCAGCCAAGAGGATCTGTTAATAGGGACTCCTCCTCCCACAAGTCCCTGGAACTTGGAAGAGCAGGAGGTAGCCCCTTTTGTTTTTTGAGATGGGGTCTTACTATGTTTCCCAAGCTGGTCTCTGAACTCCTGGGCTCATGATCTTCCCACTTCAGCTTCCCAAATAGTTGCTACCACACACGCACCACTATGCCCAGGTTCTAGAGATTTGGAGGCCAGGGCTGGCCATGATGGACAGATGGGATTATTAGGAGAGGTAGGAGGCCACTGTGAGGAGACACCTGTCCTCCCTTCTCAGGGGCCTTAAATATTTGAAGGGTTAGTTCCTGGGTTCCTTGGGTATGTAGAACCTCTAGCCATCTGCTTATTTTTTGACTGTACCCCCAAGTGCCCCACACCCCATGTTCCTGTTTTTCTCTATTGTTGCTAAATCACAGCTGACACTTTCCTGGCCTGGAATTAAGCACTGCAGTCTCCGGCCATTCCTTATAGGAAGTGAGAATGGGGAAGCGGACGGGAGAAACAGCCTTTCCAGAGGGAGAGGCTGGCATGGGCGGGGCTGGTGTCCAGTGGCAGTGACACTAAGGATCCACAGCAGGGATCTTCCCCTGGGCACTCGTCCCTTCCCTGTCCACAGCTCCCCCTGCCCAGGAAAGGCCTGCGAAGCTTCCTTCCTTCCTCTGGGAAACACATCTATCCAGGGCAGGCTCATCCCGGTGACCACACAATGGCCCTTATCAGCTGTGGAGCCAGGCACAGAGACCTAGTGCACACCAAGTCTCACATATTTCCTGTTTCCACCCAGCAGGTCAGGGGTGGGCCCAGAGCAGCCATATCCTGACTGGGGCCAAGAGGAGGGAGAGCAATCCCCTTCCCTTTTCCGCCTCTCAATCACTGCTGGACTCACTGCTCCCATTTAAGGAGGGGCCCTGCAACAGGAGGCTGGGACAGAAGTGTACAAAGTACTTAGTGCATAAAAGGGAGACGTAAGTGTGTGGAGGATAAATGGGGATCCCTGGGATCAGGAAGCCCCAGAGCCTGCCCCAGGGATACATGAATGAGAATACGGGGGTGAGTATAGTGCTGGGTGTTTTTGCACATGTAGTTTTTTGTTGTTTTTTTTTAAATTGCTTCCCTACAATAACCTTACAAACAGGTACATTTGACATCATTTGTATTTTACAGACAACTGAGGCTCCTATATGGTAGGATAGGGTAAGAGTCCACACTGATTGAAACCCAGGTCTCCAGACCCCATTCCTGGATCCCCATCATCATCAAGGAGTCACACACAAGTGTAAAAGCCACATTTCTAATTATCCCCCAATGTAACAGACACAGAATATAGGCAGTCATGGCTTGCTAGAGCTGAGGGGACAATTCTTCATACACATGGCTCCTAGGGTAGAATATAGGACGCAGAGCAACTGGAGTGACTCTCAGTCTTGGGTGGTAAGTGGATGTGACAGTGACACAGCAGGTTCTCTGAAATGTCTTCTCCTGGCAGAAGGCAACTGGCAGGAATGTGGAGAGGCTATGTCCACAGGGCACTGGAGGATGATCTCTGAGGTCCTCAGGGCTGGGTCCTCCAAAATGTCTTTATCCTGGCTTTCCCTTCTGTCTGCCTGCCCACCCCCACGTCTAGATCTCCAAAGGGTCGAGAGAGAGGAGCAGTTTCTGGCCAATGGCTAATGATGGGGGCTAGATGAAGGCAGATGAGCTTGAACTCGCAAGGATCATCTTGGAAGTCTATGGCTATAGCTCCTCTATCACCTGTCAACCCTTCACAAGAGGGCAAGTTGGGGGCATGGGAACCGACTTATCCACAGAAGCCAACTCAGTTCCCTGGAATTCTCTCTGCTCAGGCTTTGGAACTTCCTGGGTTAAACTCCAGGCAGGGTATAGGGGGTAGGCTGTGCTGGCACAGACCCTCCCAACTGACCCATAGTCACATGTAAGAGCCTTGGTGGAGGGGATCTTCTATCCTTTTTTTTTTTTTTTGGTTTTTCTCCGGTACCGGGAACCGAACTCATGACCTTGCGCTTGCCAGGCAGGCGCTTTTGCCGCTGAGCTAAATCCCCAGCCCCCGGGATCTTCTATCCTGTCCACTTATTATACCTTTTTTTTTTTTTTTTTTTATACCACTTCTATTGAAACCAGGGATCCTAGACACTCTGCTCATCCCCCATTGGGACAAGCTATGAAACGCCAAGACTGCTGGAACCCACTGTTGCTTGTGCCAACCAGTGTATGGGGCCTGTACAAATGTGAGCGTCTATCCCTTCTAGGCAGCCTGAGGCCCAGGGTGGCGTGACAAGAATGCAGGCCTGTGCCAGATGGGGCATGTGCCTGGCAGGAGTGCTTGGGTAGGCCTGGAAGAGAGAGAGAGAGAAAGAGAGAGAGAGAGAGAGAGAGAGAGAGAGTGTGTGTGTGTGTGTGTGTGTGTGTGTGTGTGTGTGTGTGTGTGTTTTCAAGAAATGAGATGCATGTTGGAGGATCCTTCCCAAGTCTTCACTGCTGATGAACTAGCTGGTTTCACTCATATCTCAGTAACAAACACCTGTATTTTAAGTGCCAATTCTAGTGATCTGGCCTGGCGAGGGTAAGGAAGCTGGCTAGAGCTCACCCTGGGAAGTGGGGAGGTAGAGGATACTTGGCTGCCTCCTCAGGGGCTGGGCCCCCAGCAATCCTGGCAGTAGTAAGGCAGGGTTGGCTGCCAGCTGTAGCCTCCACCTTGGATTCAGTTGCTCCTCTCTGGGCTCAGATCTGTGCTTGAGCTTCACCTGGTAGGTCTCTCTCCAAAAAGAAGCGAAGTGGTATCTGCAGGGATAAAACAGGTGGCAGAAAGGGGACTGCAGATCTTCCTCCATACCTTCTCACCACTGCCATTCTCAAAGGATGTGGTACCACAGGGATGGGTTGGTTCCCGGCGGTGGGCTTAAGTCCTCTGTAATACCCTTCCCCTTCCCCCAGCATCCCTTACCTTGAAAGGTTTGCTGATCCCCACCACAGAACGCAGATTGTTGCTATAATAACAGAGGAGAAACTGATCCTCAGTCTCAGGGATATCAAAGATGTTAATGTATACCTGAGGGGAGGGTGAACAAGAACGGAGTCAGCTCCAGGGTAATGGCCACTTCCCTGCTCTCAGTGACAAGTTATCTAGTACTCTGTTCCTTCCAGAAGAAAGCAGTATGCAGACAAGCTTGGCTGCGGGAGTTGTACCTGGTTCAGGTTGTCACCGAAGGAGACCTGGTTGTCCCCAACCCAGACATAGGACACATAGTCGTTAATGTGGCGCATCCCCACCTGTGGAAGGAAGGGAGATTGGGGAGTTGGTGCTTGGGAAGGACATGGGACCTTATGGAAAACCCTAAGGAGAGGACGGTCCCACTGCTGGGGCTGGACATCACACTGTCTCCCTTCCCTTCCTTGCCAGCCCCTGGGAAGGCAAAGACCCCTGAGAAGGCAAAGACCCCTGAGGAGGATGACAGTGGAGCTCTTCAGTGTCCACCCAGCTCCCATGAGCCCTTAGGAAGGATAAACCAGGGGGCTGTGGCTGGTGGATTCAGTCTTTCCTGCCACATCACCTTGTATAGTCCAATCCAGTCCCAGGGGCTGCTGAGGAAGTCCGGGGTTGAGGAGTAGCTGATCAACATGTCGTTCTCCATGGTCCATATGCCCTCAACCATTATGGTGATCAGTGAGACAGACATCAACGGCTTCAGCTACACACAGGATTGGTAAGTGGGTTGAAATTCTGTAACACCATTCCTTTCTCTAAAGCAACTGTTCCTCACTGTATCCTTCCAATACAGTGAGAGGAGCAGGGGCACCTAGAGGGGTGCGCATAGAACCTCATGGGCTACCCTAGCTGACCCTGGCTGGCCAGCAGAAAAGAGAAAAGGCCAAAGGCTTGTCAGGGGAGCAGCTGGCCTTGCCAGGGAGAATGGGGCTGAGAGCCAGGTGGGTGACACAGGGAGCCAAGTGCTGAGGATGGAGGCAGAGGGGAGTTGCTAGGAATCCAGACAGCTATTCTCAGGCCTCCAGCGTTTCTGAGTCAAAGGCCCCAATCCAGCACACACTGCAAGAACAGATATAAACACACCTGCACAATGGTGTAAGGATCAAGAAATTGCCGTGAAAATGCAAAGGCTGAGGGGTGGCCAGTGGTTTAAAGGAGGTCAGCACTCTCTTGATAGCAATATATAAGGAGGGAGGGAGCTCCTTCTGCAACCTGATCCAGACAGGTTTAGGATGAATAAAAGGACGTTCTATTTCACACAGTAGGTAATAAGCTTAATGAAAACTCATCAGCCCCAAGGGAGGGTAGCAAGAGGAAATAGAAACCTATTCATAGGGCTTGAACATGTTTTTGATGGACAGAGCCATCAACAGCTCCTAAGAGCTGGGATACCTGACCATGGAGCAAAGGCAATCATGTGCACCTATAGTTCTCCCCTGGGGATTGGCTGACATTAGAATCCATGTCTGGAGGGTTGGGGATGTGACTGACCCAGCACAGCTGTCCCTCTGTCAAGTATAGGGCAGCCCAGAAGTTCACCTGCAAGTCAAAGGTGCCAGTGACAGGCTTATGATCACTGATGCTGTACATCATGTGGCTCTTGTAGCTCCTCAGAGACAGAGAGAAGTAGGGGGCTGGCTGACTGGAGGTAAACGAGCTGGCCCGGGGCTGCCGCCTCAACCTCCACAGGATGCGGTCGGTCCATGCAGGCTTGCGTTTCTTCTCACTGGGTATGGGGAAAAGGAATGGGGACAGAAGAAAGGGTTGGCCAGAGAGTATGGACGAATAACCTCATGAGCCTACAGGGGCCCCTAACTTGAGTCTACCAGTAGCCAGAATACCCCTAAGCCAGAGCTACAGGAAGCATCACAGCATATAAGAGGGCCAGACAGAATCCAGAGTGCTAGCCTCTAGCAGACGTAGCCAAAGACTCTGCCTAGCACATTTATAGACATAAAATTGTGACTCAGAAACATTCTATTTCAATGATTTTCTTCTTTCTTTAACAAAAGTAGCATAAGATCAGAGAGCGTGAGTGAGACCTGAGCTTGAATTTGGACTTCTTGCCTACTAAAGGTGTGACTGTAGGAAAAAGAAGGGAAGCATGTGGGGAATGCTTACCACGTGCCTGTGAGTAGTGGCATTAGCATTCACCCCTTACAATAAGGTGGAGAAACTGAGTCTTAGATGGGGAGTAACATCCCCAAAGTCACACAGCTAACTAAGTGGCAGAGCCAGAACTGGCTCGAGGCCAGGGAGAATGACCACATAGCAGGTGCTCCTAACTACCAAGCTACCTTTTCTTACAACTTACTTCCTCACCTGGAAAATGGAGATAATAACTTTTACTGCAGCTAGGCATGGTGGCACATGCCTATAATCCCAGCACTCTGGAAGGATGTGGCAAGACAGTCTAATGTTCCAGCCCAGCCTGGACAACTTAGGGAGACCCTGTCTCAAAATTTAAAAAGCCTGGGCATGGTGGCCCATGCCTGTAATCCCAGCACTCAAGAGGCTGAGGCAGGAGGATCACTGCAAGTTCCAGGCCAGCCTGGGTTATAAAGTGAGTTCAAGGGCTTGGGATATAGCTCAGTGGCACAAGCGCCTACCTGGCAAACATAATGTCCTGAGTTTGATTCCCAGCACCAAAACAAAGTAAAAAATAAAAAATAAAGTGAGTTCAAGGCCAGTTGGAACTGCATAGTGAATGAAACCCTGTCTCTGAAAGACAAACAATAATAAAATAAATAAGTGAAAAGGAGCTGAGGATGTAGCTTAGTGTGAAGGATCTGGGTTCAATCCCTAGTACCACCAAATATAAAAAGAAATGGTCACCTCTGTCACTGAGATTGAATGGGATGAGATAAAGCACATGAAATGTTTAGCATAGTGCTTGGTACAAAGCTCTGTAGACCTTAGCCACTATGATTCTTTGTTCTCAAAAGTTACCTGAGAGACCTCCCGTCTTGCTCTTCTCTGACCACTTTCCTGAGAAGATGAGAGGCCATAGGGCCCCTAGAGACAAGTACATTCCTCCTCTAAATAACTAAAGTCACTCAAAGAGAAGTCTTGCTGGAGATATAGCTCAGCGGCACAGTGCCTGCCTGGCAAGCTTAAGGTCCTGAGTTCGAGTCCCAGTACCAAAAAAAAAGAGAGACAAGTTTCTACCCCTAACACACCCTGCTTAAGCAGCTACTGGGGAATGTGCTAAGTCCAGCGGGGTCTCAAGGTTCTGCCTTTCCAAATGGAGATAGCTCATGGGATCATTGTGGCTGAAGAGTAAGCTCAGCTGCTGTTTCTGGGTTTGTTCTATTCTTCTCTTTCTTTTTTTCCTCCTTCCTTTCGTGAAATAGGGTCTTGCTATGTAGTTCAGGCTGGTCTTGAACTCACTATGTATAGTCCAGGTTGGCCTTGAACTTACAGCAATTCTCCTGCCTCAGCCTCCTTAGTGCTGGGCTTAGAGGTGTGTGCCATCACATTCATGCCCAGCCTCTTTTTCTCCTGCTTGGAACTCGGGATTGAAACTTGGGCCTTCACACCGAGCTACATTACATTTTTACTTTTTTTTTTTTTTTTGAGATAAGGTCTCACTAAATTGCTAAATTGCTCAGGCTGGGTTCAAATTTGAGATCCTCCTGCTTCACGCTCCCAGAGTGCTGGGATTACAGGTATGTAGCCTCATGAGTACCTGAAGATCCCCTTTCTTGAATTAACTCAGTGAAGCAGATAAGATGATTTTCTGATTTTTTACTTGAAATTCTTTAAAGATTTAACACACTGGGTTCTACACCCAGTACAAAAACAAACAAACCCCAAAATATCAACAAAGTAAAAAAAACCTTTAAGGGTCTTCACTCCCTCCACCACAAGGAGCCCTCCACCCAAGGAGGGCTTTCACAGGTCTCAGGAACCAGACCTTCCACGTCCTGTTTCACCTCCCACCTCCTCCCCAGGCTCATACTACCCTGGCTGCCCTCCTCAAAAGCTGGGCTTTTTACTTTAAGTTTTTGCTGTCAGGAACCCCCTTTCCACCTGAGGTTCAATTCCAACACTGCCTCTCTCACAGGGTTACTCATGACCTCATTTTCCTGCTTCCAAAGCACTGGATACCAGTCTGTATACAACTGTATTATATGGTAATTTTCTGTCTCCCAGTCAGCACCTCAGTTAGTGTCTCAACTTTTTTTCCTTTTGTTTTAGTCATGTGGTTATTTCATCAAAGGCTACTTAACGCTAGTATGTATTTAAAAATGTTTATGACACGTTTTTCCACATTAAGGGCTTTCATTGTGAAAGTCCAACATCTTGCACACACTGTGTATTCATCACATCAGGGTAATTAGTGTTTCTTCCTCCTTATCATTTCTTTATGTTTAGATATTTGATCTCTTCCCTTCCAGGTCTTTTTTTTTTTTTTTTCATCTTTTTTTGGTCTTTTTTTGAGACAGGGTCTCACTATGCAGTTCAGACCAGCTTTGAGCTGACTTTGTAGGCCAGGCTGGTCTCAAACTCACAATGATCCTCCTGCCTCAGCCTCCTGAGTGCTGGGATTACAGGTGTGTGCCACCATGCCTGGAAACACATTCCCTCTTGCTAGCAAGTTTTTGTACTTATTATGTAACCTCCCTTTATTGATCCTCACCCTGTATCATTTCTAGCCTAGAGTTATGAAGCACCTGAACTTTTAAGGCAAGGACTAGCTCTTGGAGCCTGCCAGGAAGCCTTAGCATTAGTATAGACACTGGCATACAGGTATTCATCAATTGCCCAACTGCAAAAAACACAATCTCTGCTTGATGCAGTGGCACATGCCTGTGGTCACAGCTACTCAGGAAGCTTAAGAAGGAGGATCCCTTGAGACCAGAAGTTGGAGACTAGCCTGGGCAACATAGTTAAGTCTCATTTTAAAAAACAAAATGACCACCAGGCGTGGTGGCACACGCCTGTAATCCCAGCACTGGGGAGGCTAAGGCAGGAGGATCATTGTGAGTTCAAGGTCAGCCTGGGCTACAAAGTGAGTTCAAGACAAGCCTGAACTGCACAGTGAGACCCTGTCTCAAAAAGACAAAAAAAACCCAAAAACACAAACCCACAAAAAAACCCCGAAACAAAATGACCAACCTGGGATACATATTGAGTACAAGGCTAGCCTAGACTACAGAACAAGACCCTACCTCAAAAATAAAATAAAAGCTGGGCGTGGTGGCACACACCTGTAATCCCAGCACTTGGGAGGCTGAGGCAGGAGAATCGTTGCGAGTTCGAGACCAGCCTGGGCTACAAAGTAAACTCAAGGCCAGCCTGAACTGCATAGTGAGACCCTGTCTCAAAACAAAACAAATAAATAAAAAACAAAATAAAACACCTACAAATTCAGTTTTTCTTCTAAAAAAAAAATGCCCTTCCAACCAGCCATGGTGGTACAGGCTGTAATCCAGCACTCTGGGAGGGTGAGGCTGGAGGATCATAAATTCAAGCCCAGCCTGGGTGACTTAGTGAGACCCTGTTTCAAGATAAGAAATAAAGAAGGGGCTAGGAGTATACAGCATGAAGACCCTGGGTGCAATCTCCAGTAGCTTCCTTTCCCCCTCAAAATACCCCCTCCAATCTTTAGGAATCCAGTCCCATATACTTGTAATCACTCTGAAACACTATTTTTGTCTCTTGCTTTATTCAATTACGATTTATTTATTTACTGATTGATTGATTGATTGATTTAGTCTTTTGGGGACAGGGTCTTGCTATGCAGTTCAGGCTGGCTTCCAGCTCACCTTGTAGCCCAGGCTGGCCTCAAACTTGCAACAATCCTCCTACCTCAGCCTCCTGAGCGATAGGACTATAGGCATGCGCCACCATGCCCCTTATTTACTATTTTAAATCAACATTTCCAGTGCACAGTTGTCCCTTAAGCAGCAGCACTGTCTTCCCTGAGTGAGTGCACTTGAGATTCAGACATCAGCTGGGGGAGATTTCTGTCCTGGTAACTCAGAGCTGTGTGCCCCTGGGCAAGTGATGGCAGCTCTCTAGCTATACTTTCTTCAACTGTAAGATGGGGAGATAACTGCACTCACTTTAAAGACCAACCATGAGCAGAAAAGAAGTTAAGGCTCATCAAGGGAGTGGTCAAGAAGCTGTCAGGCAGGCTGGACCACAATCTGCCTCATAGCTTCTTGGGCTGTTTCTCAACTTTCATTCTTCTGAGGAATACTCAGATACCGGAGTGTGACATCCCCATCCCAGAGATTACTAGAAGTCCCTGATTCACCTAGCACATTAGGTGCTTAGCAATGCTCAAAGCCTGGTGACCAACTATAGGAATGCTCCTTCTTTTAAAAATGTCAAAGCCTCCCCGGCTTCTCTGTGCTGGTTCAGAGCCCAGATTTGCTGTCAGGTCGGGATCCTCCCTGAGTCCGGACCACAGCCTTTCTTTCTTCCTGGGGACTTTTCACCCTGTCCCTCTTTCCTTTCCTTTTCTGGTCCAGGCTCATCTCTGGGTACCTATATTGTTCATTCTTTTCATCAAGATTTATTTGATGTCAGACAACTGAGGAGATGATAAAAAATAGGATCTATAAAGGTCTTCGTTTTACCCCTGCCCCTTTGCAGTCCTGAGGAGTAAAGCCAGTGCCTTGCATATGCTAGGCAAGTGCTGTACCACTGAGGCAAGGGCTAGCTAGCCCTTAAAAGAATACATTTTTTGAGCAAAGGGTCTTGCTAAGTTCTCTAGGCTGGCTTTGCGCTTGTGCTCCCTCTGCCTCTGGCTCCAAGTGGACAGAATTACTGACGGTGTGTACCACTACTCCTACCTGGGTTTTCCCTTTTCCAGTGCTAGATAGCAAACCCAGGGCCCTGTGCGTGGTAGGTAAGTGCTTTACCACTAAGCTACACCCTTAGCCCCTTGAGCAGCTTGTCTGACAAACAAAAGCAGAAAACAAAAAGGAAAGCAACTGAGTTCAAACTCTGCATATGACCCAGACAGGGTGGCCCATGCCTGTAATCCCAGCACTCAGGAGACTGAGGCAGGAAGACTGCGAATTATACACCAGCTTGGGTAATTTAGCAAGACTCTGTAAAAAAATAAAAAAGTGATGGAGAAGTAGCTTAGTGCCAAGGCCCAGGGTTCTATCCCTAGTACTGCCAAAAAACCCCACCAAAAACCAAAAACCAAAACAAAGGCAGCGTATATTCTCGTACTTCTCCCATTTCTCATAATGACTACAGTGTGGGTCCTCCCCTGTTCAGGGCCCTGTGATAGCTGTCTCATGGACTGCTCCAATCTTTACAACAAGCCTGTCTTACAGGTCACATTCTTCCTCTATGGCAGGAAACTGCAGCTGAGAGAGGCTATCCTGTCCAGGTGGAAGCTGAATGCTCGTCCAGCACAGTCTATGAAGCCTGTGGGGCTTCCACTGCACTCCACTATCTCCCCTGCACACCGCCCCCAAACAGTCCTGTTCAACTGGCTCAGGCAGCAAGAACTGTCCCATAGTTTGCATCGTGAGAACAGAGCCTCCGTGATACTTTTTGGAAATGTTTCTGAGATCCCCTCTCCCCCATTGGTCAGGCTATATTGCCCCAGCTAGTCTCAAACTGTTGGGCACAAGTGATCTTCCTGTCTCAGCCTCCTGTCTGAGAATACATGTATACATACTACATATTATAGTTTTTGAGATAAATGGACATGGTTTTGCTTTCAAAAACTTAAGGGTAACTCTATAGGTTTTTTTTTTGTTTTCTTTTTTTTGGAGACAGGGTCTCACTATGTAGTTCAGGCTGGCCTTGAACTCACTATGTAGCCCACGCTGGTCTCCAGCTTGTGCCCCTCCTGCCACAGCCTCCTGAGTGCTGGAATTACAGACACGTGCCAACCACGCCTGGCTAAACGCTGTAAGATTCTGCTAAGAGTCTCACCTCCTGGACCATCATGTGCTCAATTTCTGGGTCTAAAAGCATTTTTCTCTTTAGCTCCTTACAGATGGCTTTAAAGTGCCTCACTGAAGTTTAGACCACAATTAACCTGTCAGGCACTTAAAAGTCTTGAGTAGATTTGATTATAATATCTTCTACTCATTGTCTATGAAGAAGTCGTTTGTCATAATGATGACTATAAAAAACTCCAATGCAATCTCTGACTCTAACAGGATTTCCCTCCCTGCCTTTAGTCCTTCCACCCTCCCCTGTAATGGTGCTGACCTTGTTTCTCACTACATCTTGGCTCCGGGGTACTGCAATGGCAGATCAAAGCTGCACACAATCCCCTGCACACCAATCACCCATAGTCACTTGGTACAACCAGACAGGCCAGGGACTCCACTGGGTCAGACTCCACTGGAACCGAGCATGGTGGTGCACCATCTGTAATCCCAGCACTCAGGAGGCTGAGGGAGGAGGATCGTTATGAGTTTGAGGCCAGCCTGGGCTACAAAGTAAGCTCAAGGCCAGCCTGAACTGCAGAGCAAGACCCTGTCTCAAAAAGACAAAAAACAAACAGACTCCATTGGAGGCGCCTCTTGTCAGTGGTGCTGACTGACTGGAACGTCTGCCTCTCCTCTTTCTCCCAACTCTGCTTCCTCCTTGATATTTTCCTGGGGCAGGTGGGGTATAGCTGAGCAGTAAAGTGCCTGCCTATGACACATGAGGCCCTGGGTTAATCCTCAGCACTGCAAAACAAAAAAGGTACTCTCCTTGAAGAATCTGATCGACCCCTCCTGGCTTTAGCTGCCAGCCTCCTTTGGCACTTACGCAGTGTTCTGGAAACTTCTCCTCCTCAGCTCAACAGTATTTATTTGTATCTTGCTGCCATGGGTGGATCCCTGTGTTAGACTGGTTTAAATACCATGACTTTTCCTTTTGTCCCCTCAGGCTCCCTATTTAAACACATGCCAGACACTGTCTTCATACTATGGATGGTCCAATTTCTGCCCTCTGGACATTGACAGTACACCAAGAAGGTCACACTGAGTCTCTTTTTTTTTTTTTTGTCTTTTTGAGACAGGCTCTCACTATACAGTTCAGACTGGTCTTGAACTCACTTTGTAGCCCAGGCTGACCTCAAACTTGCAACGATCCTCCTGCCTCAGCCTGTCCCTGTTCCTACTATGAAGTCCCCTGTTCCTACTCAGACGGTCCTTCGTTCTCTCAGTTTCAGGCAAGGGGGAGGGGTAGTGACAGCTCATGGGTGTGGAGTTAGAACTTGGGTTCAAATTCTTGCTCCATCATTAAGTCTGCTACTACCTGGCTTAGACAATCCCTGAGACTCATTTTCCTTATTTGCACAGTCAGTAACAACAGTATCCACCTGATGAAGATACACTGAGAGTCAAGTGAAATGATGCAGACAAAGTTTTTTGCACAATGCCAGGCACATGGTAAGTGTTCAATAATGTCAATCACAATGAGCTATTATGCAGAAGTAAGTACCATCTGCTTCTTCCTTAGCAGATACTTATTGCTTTCCTGCTTTCTTTTTTCTCCTACCGGCAGGACAGACTGTGAACCTTTTTTTTTTTCTTCCAGTGCTGGGGATCAAATCCGGGGCCTCACATATGCTAAGCATGTGCTCTACACTGAACTACACCCCTGGCCCCTAGCTGTGAAATTCTGAGGAAAGCACTACAGAGTCCAGTGGGGTCTGAGTCCCAGCTCACCGCTAGCTGAGCTACCTGAGCCTTTACCCTCTGTGGGCCTACTGACCCCGTCAGACCCTGCCAACTCCAGCCCAGACCCAGCTGCTTCAAGGGCTGACAGTCTGCTGGCAGTCTCCGAATTGTACCCTGAACACATGGCAAGTGAGGTCTTGTTTCTCTGTTGGTGTCCCCCCACTTCTTTTTTTGAGCAGTGCTGTGATTGAACCCAGGGCCTTTGTACATGCCAGGCAAGGGCTCTACTGCTAAGCTCATCTTCACCCCACAATTGAGGTTTTGCATTCAGTGGTAGAGGTTCCAGCCTCTAAGGCCCCAGCCAGTTCACTGAGGCCTTACAGTCTCACTTCCAATAGATGGCTGAAGAGACAGGCAGTCTTGCTGCAGCTGTGGCCAGGGCCTGCCCTCTTGCCTCTTTTTCTGCTTGCTCCGTCACCAATGTTCACTGCCTCCGCTTGTGTGGTCAGCCTCGGCCATCATCCCACCCCATCTTGCTCCACACTCCTGAAGTGGCTCACCCTCTCTCTCTCCTTGGCGAGCGCATTTTGGCTCTGGCATACTAATTCCAGAAACAAGCCTCCAGTTCATCCTTCTGCCCCCGCCCAGCCAGCTGTGAAGACATCCATAGGCATCTCTCACCTCCTGCATAAGACAGGTTTGCAAGGAGGAATGAAGAAGCTGATTTAGGCGAAATTAGCAGCTCCCTAAAATGAAGGGTTCTTCTTTTCTTCGAGGGCACTAGGGTCCACCAGGGACCTGTTGCCAAAGCTGTTTTTAGCCCTTTCTCTCCCTCTTGAGCGTCTTAGAAATGTTTTCAGTAAAACTACCACCAGACAGCCAGCCATTTTGCACATGCCTTAATCCCAGCACTAGTGAGGCTGAGGCAGAAGGAGCACTGTGAGTTCGAGGCCAGCCTGGACTACATAGTGAATTCAAGGCTAGCCTGAACTGCATAGCAATACCCTGTCCCATAAAATAAAATTACAAACAAATATCCCACCACCACTCAAGGAGATGAAACTAAGAATAACAATTGCAGTTATTACCCATGCTTCCTGGGGGCCAAGCACTGGGGTAATACATTCAAGGTCTCAATTCAGCCCTCATCCCATCAGGTGTGTTTTGTTCATTTTGTGGATGGCCACACTGAGGTTTAAACACCTTGTCCAAGATTATACAGCTGAAGAGGGGCAGCACAGCCCTAGATGCAATGTCTCTGATTTTGTTTTGTTGGTTTTTTGGGAAAGGGTCTCACCATGTTGCCCAGGCTGGCTTCACACTGCAGGCTCATGTCCTCCTGCACCAATTTCGCAAACGGCGGGGAACAGAGACATCTATCACCATGCCTGATGCCTCTGCATTGCTCACCATGAAATTCCCCCTACCTCTTCACATCCCACATTGTATCTGCTGCCTCATAGGCTGGCAGGGGTACTTAATACCACTAACCATGAGTCAAGCTTTCTGTCTTCTACCTGGGGACCAGAAGAGCATAGGAAGTGGGGCAGGGGTTCCCAAAATGCTGATGTACCTTCCCCCCTGTGTCAGGACTACCTCCCTTGGCTCCAACCATTTCCATCCTCTCCCTGTCCCTCCCCCGTCCCTTGCTTTGCCCTCTGCTCTGAGGATCATCTGGGACAGCTCCCAGTCAGCACTTCCTACAGTGGGCAAGAGGTGCCACACAGGAGAGGTGATTACTGGATCTAGTCCTGCTTCTATACTTCTATTCTGCAGCAGCTCTGACAGCCACTAGTGCTAGTATCATTCTACTTCCTGGGCCTCCTGGGCACCCATTTCCTCCTCACCTGGTGTCATAGTTGTTGGAGTTCTTATCAAACTTGTAGGTGGGCGGAAAGCGCAGGGGACCCTCCTGGAACTCCCGGAGCAGTGGGTCATGTCTCTTGGCAATGCTGAGCTGCAGACAGAGGCAGAGTCCCGATTTCTCCACAGTCCCGACCCAGGACCACAATCTATTTTCTCACTGTCCCCGTGGCTGCCTCAGTGCCCCCGCCCCTGCCACCACCCCAGATAGCGGCTGAATCCTGGAAACATGACCCCACAGTCCCAGAGGAGGCAGCTGCTTGCCGTTTCCCAGTCCTCAGACCACAGGAAACAGGCTTTGAGTGGCCAGGGTCCCCAAAAGGCATATCATCCTCCAGGAAACGAACAAGATCGGGGATGGCAAAGACGGCAAGGACACAAGGGGACAGACGGGCAGTGTGGGGTCACATCAGGCCAAAGCCCTTCTGGCTCCCTATTCTAGAGCACAGGTAAAGCGCAAGCATGGGCAGGATGGCTGCCCCACCCAGCCCTACTGTAGACTCCTTCCCGACTCACAGGGGAGGAACAGCCCCAGGGCCCCCAAGGGATGCCCTCTGCGCTTTTCACAGCGACCACAGTGGGCTCGGAGTACCCTTTGGGAACCCCCCCTTTGCTTGATACCTGATCCTTCTCCCACAGGTTGATGTAGCACTGATTTTTTATGCATTCCCGAACAAAGTGCAACCCGAAGTTCTCGATCCGAAAGTTCATGTCTCCAAACCAGAGAATGAGGCTTTAAAAAGAAAGGAGGGCAGCCTGAGGGTTTGTGATGAGGTCAGAGAAAGGAGGAGCAACAGGAAACTCGGGTCTGCTCAGTCTAAGAGCTACTGGAGAGCACAAAGCTCAAGGGGGCAGGTGAGAAGACAGATGCTAAGAGGGCATCACATGGTGACAAGGACATGCGTGGGTCCAGAAAGACTATTCTCATGGCTCTGGTCCCATCATTCAGGCTGAAGAGACCAGCTCAAAGGGGCACATGGAAAATACACCAGACTCCAGCCCTTCCTCTCCCTCCCTCCCTCTTAACTGGCCACCAGCACAGGCTGAGAAATAACCCTCCTACTGACCTTAAGAACTTCAGGTTTTCTTTTGTTTTTGTTTGGTTTTGCTTTTTGAGATAGGGTCTCATTCTACAGTTCAGCCTAGCCTTGAACTCACTGCGTAACCCTGGCTGGCTTCAAACTCACAGTGATCCTCCTGCCTCAGCCTCAAAAGTGCTGGGATTACAGTGAACCCTGGAGTTTTTGTTTTAATTTACTAGTGAAGTCTTGAGTTATGACCTGAATGCTAGCTGCTTGTGCTTCCAGATGGTCTCAGACACACATTTAACCCTTAAAGAGTTCTGAAAGGAACATTACTACATCCTTTCCTGTATGGGTTCATTGAGAAATCCTGGGCTAATGTCTCTCTAAACAGATCTGCCTGTATAGACAAGAGACTTTGAAGGCTGTGTGGAGGAGTCTGAGCCTTCAATTGACAACTTGAATTATAACCAGCCCTTGGAAAAAAATGAGTAGTTCAAGGGTTTACTGGTACATTGTTTTGTTTTGTTGGAGACAGGGTCTCATTACATAGATCAGGATGGCCTTGAACTCACTATGTAGCCCAGGCTGGCCTCGATCTTGTGGTGATCCTCCTACCTCAGCCTCTCAAGTGCTAGGAATACAGGTGTGTGCCACCATACTCAGCTCATTGTTTTGTTTTTTAAGACTCAGTCTTGCTATGTAGCAGAGGCAGGCCTCAAAATTATGATCCTCCTGCCTCAGCTTCCTGAGTAGCTGGCATTACAGGTGTGTGTTCCCATGCCTGGCTTACCACAAGGTTCTTGACCTTGGCTGTTTAGGAATGTCCAGGGTTTCTTGGGCAGTGCATGGGACATCAGGGGAGGGGTGAGGGACAGGGTGGGAGAGAAAGCACTACTGACTGTCTGGGAAAGAAACGGGGTTGGCATGGAGAGAGGGCAGGGTGATGGTTCACAGCTCCATGCTCACTCATGGTCCAGGATGTTGGGGACATCATGTCCCTTAAAATTCTGCATCTCCAGAATACGGTCAAAGTGCTCCAGCCGCTGGTCATTGTTAGCCATGTGGGGAGGCAGGTGGCAGTTGACGATGCTGACATAGTAGCCGTAAACTTTCAGGAAGATGTTGACTCCCCCTTTGTTCCCCTGGTGGGATAGTTGACAGAAGGGTGGGAGACTACTCTGGGTTGGCACCTTTTCCTATCCCAGACCTGGGGGCGACAGTCTCACTCTCAGTGGGATCTCTCAGGGACACACCCAGCTTCCTCGGGGAATCTGTCCGTGTATAGAGCCCAGTCCACCCAGCCTGGAGTCTCAGGGATGCCCATTCCTCTCTGAGGTAGGAGAAAGAGTATGCAAGGTACTGGGCTGGATGGAGGGCCAACATTCATTTCATTTCCTCTTTCCTTCACTCAGCTCAATGCTCCCCACCTTTCCCAGCTCATGGCTCAAAGAATAGCTCAGTCCTTACCCAGTACCCGTAGAGACCAGTAGGGGTAGATTTTGTAGAGAGGATCTGAATGAAGGGCAAATGCTGGTACTTGGCAAAGACTATCAAGAGGAGTCCCTGCATTCGGATGTGGGAGATCTGCAGAAGAACGAGGGCAAAAGTCATTCATTGGGGCCGGGGACATAGCTCAGCGGCATAAGTGCCTGCCTGGCAAGCACAAGATCCTGAGTTTGATTTCTGGTACTTCCCCCCAAAAGAAAGTCATTCACTGAACTGCACATGCCAACTGTATCCGTCAGGCCGGGTGCTAGGCGATCTACAGAGCCCCAAGGCGATCTACAGTGCTACCCCAAGGGCCTATGGTGTTCCAGTGTGTCAGTGTTACTCATTTTCTTTCTTTCCCTCAGGTACAGTATACTCTAGGAGCTCAGGTTTCACTTTTTGCTGGTGGACTTGGGGATAGAGGGAACAGAAGCCTCCTGCCACTATGAGAGGGGCACTAACTCTTCAGTCCTAGCTGTACACATGCTAGGTGCTCCTCTCACTGACGCTGCCCTGAGATTCTTGGGTACTGGCAAGCAGCTCAGCCTATCGTATCCTTGATAGAGCAGGAACAATACTATGTCACAGATGATCGGAAGAACTGATAGCTATTATTTTTTGGTTCAAGGATTCTATTTTTATTTTTCCTGAAATGTAGCCTTGGTGTGTTGCCCCATCTGGCCTTAAACTTGCAATCCTCTGCCTCAGTGTCCAAAGTAGCTTGGAATACAGGCATAGGCCACTGTCTGGCTTCAAGGATTCCTAAAAGTACATAAATGCAGGGAGGGAACATGGACAGAGGCTTTTAGAACAATGGAAACATTCTGTTCTTTCTTTTCTTTCTTTCCCTCCCTCCTTCCTTCTTTCCCTCCTTCCTTCCTTCTTTTCTTTCTTTTTTTTGGATACAAGGTCTCCCTATGTAGTTTAGGCTGGCCTTGAACACACTATATAGCTGAGACTGGCCTTGAATTTGCAGCGATCCTCCTGCCTCAGGCTGCCAAGTGCTAAGATTACAGGTGTGTGCTGATTCAGTATTTTGTTTAGTTTTTTGTTTGTTTGGGTTTTTTGGGGGGCAGTACTGGGATTGAACTCAGGACCTCACACTTGCTAGCCAGGCACTATGCCACTGTATTCTGTATTTTGACCTCACTCATGGTAATATGGGTATGTGTATATGTGTAAAATCCACCAAACTGTACTTTTTGTGTGTATGTGGTGTTGGGCAATTCAGGCCTCACACATGGTAGGCAAGTACTCTACTACTGAGCTATATCCCCAGTCCACCCCTTTACTTTGAGATAGAGTCTCACTCATTTGCCCAGACTTGCTCTGAACTTGTAATCCCTCAGCCTCCCAAGTACACCCAAGCACACACCACCATCCAAGCGTGCACGCCCACACATACACTTCCTTTCTGCACTCTTTTTCTGTACATGTTCTAGCTCAGTGAGAAAATGGTACGGCAAAGGCTGCCCCCCACAAGTAACTACAGATTGTGTGCAGTTGGATGTCCATGAAGGCAATGCACTGGGGGTGACAGCGAGTATGAAGGATGTATGTTTGCAGGTTTGGGAGAATAACATCTACTAAAGTACTTGGATCTCATGGAATCCTTTCACCAACCACTGTCTGTTTTGTAGATGTGAGACTGAGGTCAGGGAGGCTAAGGAACCAGTAGAAACTATTTAGGACTGCCAAAATGCCACTATCTGCAGCTGCAGGGGCTTGGCGTGGGAACAGGCTGCAGCCAGTGACTCTCTCTCAGGTTCGGGCTGTCTACACCCACCGTCCAAGTAGTTGTTTCCGGAGCAGGAGGTGCAGAGGCCAAGAAGGAAATCCCCGGGTGGGGAGTGTACTGGGGCCTTCCAGGAATTATGAAACTTGATCCCACAGGCTAGGAACCTTAGCATAGTAGAAGACTCAAAGCAGGGGGAACCCCAAACTCTGCACTGAGTAAGGGAAGCGTTAGAACCTGAGGTTGGTCAGAAGATGTTACAAATATGTCCTCACCACCCCCCCGCCACCCCCACTTGGGCTGGACTATGAGGGACTGACTCCCACAGTAAGGGCTGGCATCTGATAAACATTTAGCAACAGATTTGAGCTTAAGCTTAACTCACAGACCAGGTTTAGGGCACTGGGCTCTATCATAGTGACCATTCTACTTTGTGAAGGAATAGGAGGAAGTGAGAGGTAAGGAGGATGGGCTTGGGGGTTAAGAGAGTCAGAGTAGGAGAAAGGCGGGGCTGTGGGGAAAAGCAGGAGACTTCAGGGGAAATTCCGGTTGGAGGAAGTGAAGTAGGAGGTACTGAAGAAGGGACTGGCAGGAGGTGGTGGGAAGTCCTGAAACAGCAAAAGGGGTCAACCCGTGCTTCTCAACCTGTAGGTGGCAAATGCCTATCTAAAGAACAGACCATAAAGAGGGCTTGCCTGTGAACCTCAATTCCCGGGTGGGGCAAGGAGCAGCATCCGTTCTGGTATCTGGCCCTTAGGCTACCCACCCAACCTCGGGAAGCTTCGTGGATGGAATGGGTAGCGTCGCCACTACAGGCTGAGCTAGTTTCCTTGGCTCAATCCCATCCTACCAATCCCTTGCCAGTTTGCCAAGGCTCAAGGAGCCCTGTTGGGAAGGAAAAGAGAGGTGAGAGAGGTGGCTCAGCCCTTCATGAGGATCTAGCTCCAAGTCTGTAGGGAAAGGCCTGCAATCGATTAGGAAGGAAACAAGAGCTTGGCATTTTCTAGTCTCAGCAGGAAGACTAAATCTTTTGTTCCAGGCTGCCGGTGGGAACGTTTGTTTTTTTTTTTTTTTTTTTTTATGGTGGGCTAGGGGTTTGTAAAGTTTATTTATTTATTTTTAAA